TCCTCTGGTTCCAAGAAAGTTCGCTGGAGTTAAATATAAGTAAGACTAAGGAGCTGTGTTGTGGAGGGTTTCGTTCATTTAACACTGATCATCCTCTATCTGAACCACTTGAGCTATAATGTCTGTGTGCATGTGTGTAAAACAACAAACTGACGATTTATATATAATCATTTGTAATTGTATATACGTTGTTGTGATTAATTGTGGCTGGAACAATAATGTAGCTATAAAAATAGTTGCCTGCTGAAATTGAAATGTATATCTTCATCATGACTAGACAGACACTGAGTTTGTCTACTCGGGGTGGTGACTGAAGGCGGTGACTGTGTAGTTCTGACGTCAACTTTTTACGGAAGTCACAACGATTCATGAAAATTCACAGCTACTTTAAGCAGGCTGTGTGAATTTTACTGTGGACTGACTGTTTTGAAACTTATGTGGTAACTACATAGCACCTAGACCTCTGTTATCATGAAAAAGGCCAGGAAATTTCAGTTTTGACAATATGGGACCTTTAAGCTGGGGGGGCAGGTAGTGGAGCAGGTTGAGGCCTTTACATATTTGGGCACTGAGATTGACAGGCATTTATCTTTTACACAGCAGGCAAAAAATATCTATAAGAAAGCTCAACAGTGATTATCTCTTTTGAGAAAGCTAAAGGGCTTTAATGTAAGACAGGAAATCTTAAAGGCACAATATGTAATTTTTGCCGCGAGAGGGCGCGTATTCCAAATAAACAAAGAGACAAAGGCGTAGTTTGACGATGCCGTGACTGAGTGTGGAATCATGGGAGTTGTAGTTAAAATTGCTTATTTCTCTGGATTTAAACATTCTTCGAAACATTTGGGATAATGTAAGTACACAAGTCAGCAAAATATATAACACCGTTCTAGTGGTTTTTGGATATTTTAATAAAAAAATCGTACATATTGTGCCTTTAACAGCGGTGTATCGGTCACTTGTGGTATCAGTTATAACCTTTAACATTATTTCTTCGTTTAACTTTCTTTCAGCTGAAAACAATAAAAAATTATCAAGAGTAATCAGAAAGGTATCTAAAATTATTGGGTACCCACAGACTAAACTTTTAGATCTCTATAACTGTGCTGTGAAGAGGAAAGCAGCTTCTATTGTTACTGACCCCTCTCATCCTTTGCATTACCTTTTTCAGACACTCCCATCAGGTTGTCGGTTTAGAACTCCTTTGGCTAGAAGGAAGGCTTATGGTAATTCTTTTATTCCTACTGTTTCTGAATAAGGCCAAACAGTTTTGTCAGGATATTGTGTAGTGTTGTTGTGTATTATTATTGTGTATTGTGTACATGTGAGCCTTTTACCTAAGACAAATTTCTATCACTGGTTGATAGATAATAAAGTTTTTTTAATTGAATTTAATTTAAACCATTAATCAGTTGGGAGGGTGTTCAAGAAAACCCTAGTCTCAGTGTACCACTGATGAACAAATATCTGGCCTTACAGCAGATGCTGAGTGTCGAGCGTGACAAACGGAAAGCACCTGACAGATGTTTGAAGAGCATTTAAATAATGATAGAGCTGCTTTGCAAGAAACTCCAGCATAGACTGTTATTTCATTATTTCATTCAAGCGAGAAAGATAGCACAAGCAGTTTTCAAGCAAAGCGTTTTAAGTTTGTTTTGTTTTCCAATTTTCTGCTTTAGAAAAACGTTTCTTGCTGGTAGTTTTCGCAAATATTGTTAAAATTTTGGTAACAATAAGGTTTCATTGCTTAATATTAGTAATGTACTTTATATTAATAAACAATGAACAATACTTCTACAGAATGTATTCATCTTCATTTCAATACATTATTAAAATCAAAATTTGTGTTAACACAATTGTAATTTTATGAATTAATATTACTAAAAAAAGGCTTTACTATGGAATTTATTTACTAAGGTTAAAAAAATAGATTTTATTGTAAAGTTACAAAAAATATTTTATAGTATTTTTATATTCATTATATATTTAGAAAATAAATATATTTGGGTGTTTTACTCAATTTGTTGAAAAAGTGCAATCTAAAATTAAATATGAAATGCATTCATTTTAAATTTTACTTTATATTGCACTTTTTTGATGAAACAAACACAAAAGTTAATCTAGAAAAAAATAAGCAAGCATAACAAAATAACAGCAAAAACAAAATGCATAATAAAGACAAATAATAACATTGAAAGTGTATAACACAGTCCAGGATGAAGTCCAGAAAGAAAGCCACCGCAATGCAGGATCCAGTCCCCGTGAGCCAGTACAAACCACCAACAATTCACAAAACTTTGTTGCCATTGAGTCTAAGAACATTCATTTCATTTGGTGTATGTAGCTGGCCAACGTGTGAATATAAAACCCTGACCACTGGGATGACTAGCAATAGGCAAAACGAACAAAAATGTACTGAGTGCACCATTAAGATGGAAAGTATTTGGGATACTTTTGTACCTTTTTTCTGAAAGTGTAGGACACCTGTGTTTATGGATATATAGTATTATATATTTTTATAGAAGTTCTTGTCAGACATTTAAAGGTAGGGTAGGCAATTTCAGAGAGGTTAGCAATAGCAAGAAATTAAAGATATGAAATTAATGAAATCATAAGATCCCAACTTCACTGCAAATCACTCTCCAAAGCCTCGCCTCCAAAACACATGAACAGACCAGACCAGAGGCTAACCGGCTAACACTATGAGGTTTGAATCCAATGCTGTCAGAATACCTCACTTCTCTTTCACCGGTGAGAAAACATTACAGTACAAAGCGCATAATATTACAATAATAACGCCTTCCATTCTCACGCGCCAGTGGCAATGGCACGCACGCTGATCATGTCTGCGTGAACAGGGTGCGCAGAGATATGCAAATACATACGCAATATTTATTATGATTATTATTAATGTATAATTTGTATAGTTTACAATAGAGATAATAATAGAATAATAATGTATCATTTGTATATTTTATTATATAAATAATAATTGTAAAAACAAATCATTATTATTATTGTTGTTGTTGTTTGCCAAAACTACTACAAAAAGTTTAGTTATTTTATTCTGTTTTTTTTATGCAGGAAATAGTGTGATGAATAATAATAAAAAAATAATGTGGGTAACACTTTATAATAACTTTCATTTATAAATCATTAACAACCATTATATAATGCTTAACAG